CCCGACCCTAGACTCTGAGTATCCCATGACCCACCTTGGCCCTAGGACCCCATTCACCCCAGCCTTTGCCCCACACCCTCCCTCCCTTACTGTGGGAACCTTGATCTGCCCCCCCCCCACCCCTTTCCTATAACAGACTTACCTGCGGGGGGGGAGGGCGGATGGGAGGTTCTATGCATGTGCATGCCTGCAAGCACGCATGTTGAGCCCCCCCCAAATAATATCCTATGGACAGAGGACTAGACTTTTAAGGTAGGGTTGGAACATTGTTGAAGTCAAGGAAATGTGAGGAGCCAGGAGTTTTTTGATAATATATTTTATTGGACCAGCTGTACAGTTGGCAGCAAGGTTAGACAAGCTTTTTGGACACCAAGTGCCCTTCTTCAGGTCATCTTGCTAGGTTTTTAGAAGTTACTTAGTTTCTTAAAGATTCAGACAGGGCTCTAGTGGGATTTTCAAAAGTACCTGGTGCCTAAGTCCCAATTAGGCATTAGGCATATGGATGTTTTAGAGAAAAGACCACTTACAGGTCTATCTACATCTTAAGGGAACTCAAAAAATTGGAAAACAATTACTATTTCATACACATGGGGCCATCTGCCTTTGGAAGAATGCTTGGCTTTTTGTGGAGGAAGAGGGAGGAGGAGAAGGGTCACAAACTAATTTATCTGTAGATTAGCATTACAAAGGATTAAAGGGTTTCCAACATTACAATCTAATTTGTAGAAGCTTAAAACAAAAAAAGTTTTGTTTTAAAACTTCCCACTGGGCTGGGATTTGAGAGGTGGGTTGTGCTCTTGGTTCTGATACTGACCTTCTGAATGACCTTGAATAAGCCACTTAAACCTCTGTGTGCCTCACCTTGAAAATGAGGATAAAAATGCTGACCTCCTCTGTAATACACTTAGAGATAGACCCATGAAAAGCACTGTACAAAAACCAGGTGGGTAATATTGTTTTAAACAGTTCAGTGTTAAGCAGAATTTTCTGGATGCTACATTAGCTTGTGAGTTCAGAAAAATACTGTGATCACATGGAGGATTCCACACAGCAAGGAAATCACTCACTTGCCTGTTCAAAAGAATCCTCCCCCTCCCTCAGTTTCTAAGCATTTTTATACTTAAGACAGATAAAAAGAAAAAAAATAAGACCTTGAAGAAACTAAAACAAACTTACTTAATTGGACATCTGTGCCCAGAGTAATAATGCAGGAATTATTTTTTTTCTCAAAACATATAACTGAAATAAGCAGCATTAGCATTTCTGGTCTCTGTCTGTTTTTTTCTAGTCAGAGAGGCCAAAGCCTGACTAAATTTACTTCATCTGTTTATTAGCTTAACCTTTTTATTAACTATTATATATGCAAACTATATCTTTTGTTGCTTCTCGATCCCGAACCAAAAAGCCCAGTGGCTAATAAAGTTGCAGTGCTCTGTCAGTCTGCAACTAAACTGATATACTCACAGTGCCCAGCTGGCCTGTGACACATAGACATTAGGGCTGGAAGGGACCTCAGAAGATCATCAAGTCCAGCCCCCCACCCAAAGGGCAGGAAGTCAGCTGGGGTCATAGGATCCCAGCAAGATAAGCATCCAATTTGCTCTTGAAGGTGTTCAGTGTAGGTGCTTGAA